CTGTTTATTGATCCCTTTCGGATCAATGTGCGACCCTGGACGAGACAATGCCCACAGGAGGCCTTCTTTTCGCTGCTGACCGCCGCTTCGATCGGACGAGAAACTATTCTGTTCTTCAAGGTCACGAATACCCTTGAAGCGGTTCTGGCCCGTATTACCCGCTGACGCTGGGTTTGACGCTGGGGCACATACTCCAGATGACGACACGACAGATCCTGCATTTGCCTGTGAAGAGACTGATGAAGTATTGCTAATGACCCCTCGAAGCTGCGAGCCTGTACTATCCGCCCGGCCTAGCTCGGCCTCAGTAGAGGCACCACCGTTTGCCATTCCTGCTGAAACAGAAGGCAAATTTGCAGCCCCGGTCACTGTGGCATCGGGTTCGAGGTATGGATTACTGTTCTTTTCCAGGTACCGGCGCTTTTCTTCACGCTCTGTCCGTTGGAACTGGAACTCTTTGTCTGCCTGATTCACCTCGTGGATAAGAGCGTCCAGTTGAGGAGTCATGCCTTCGACCTTTTGCGCAGCTGCCAAGAAGTTCTTGGCTTGGAAATCGGCGTACTTGGTGAGATGCGAGAGAACTTCTTGCTCTTTGCGACCCCCGTGGAGGTCTTGCATAAACGATGAGTAGTCGAAACGCCTCAGTTCGAAATTGCGCCGTTTGGCTTGATACTTCGAGTCACTTTCGGCCCGTTTCTTTTCTTTCAGTGAATCCTGCCGCTGGCCCAGATACCGACTGACATAAGCATAATAGTCACGGCTCTCTTCATCCCATTCTTTCTTTTTGGCCTCTGCTTGCTTGATGTCATTATGATAAAGCTTAATCAGGGGCTCAATGACAAGCTTTTGAAGTTGGATCGTGTTGAGCTGCTCGTAATTCAAAATCTGCCGTGCGATCTTTTCGAAATAGTGATCTAGAGCGGGCTGGATGGCATTCGCATTTGAAGTGGATGCATCGTTCAACGAGCCCAGGAATGCTTCCATGGCTTCATTGCAGCTAGCTTGCGCTTGTTGGGCGGCCTCGGCTTTTTTCAGCACCTTCTTAATTTTGGTGCGCATGTTTCCTGTCTTCAATTCCAGTGCCTTCATGGTCGCCCGGAATAGCGGGCCATCCTCAACTCCACTCATATCATCTCCAGCCCGAGAATGCGGGAGGTCCACCTTGGCTGGGGGTGGGGGTGGGGGTGCGGTTGGTGGAGGGGGCGGGAGAGCATTCTCTGTTTCAGGTGGAGTGGTCGAGGGAAGATATGGGTTGGAGGATTCAGTGTCGCTATTCTGAGATAGGACGGACTGAGTAGACGGGATACGGGAACGTGGAGGCACGGGTAGCTCTAGATTTGGCGAAGATATCTGTGGACTCGGCAGGAGGCGAACGGAGTTGTGCACCCAGAAGGAAAAGTGCGCCAGGGTATTCAAGCGGTTTGTTCTTTGATCGTAGTCCAAGAAGCTGCAGCTATTGCGCCAACCGCCGCCTTTATCCTCCGTCACCTTCGGGGGTTTCCATCTCCAGCACCAGTCGAACGACACGGACGGAGTGCCTCCGGTACTATAATCCCCAATCAACTGAACATTCGAGTTATTCTGAAGATTAGGGTTTGCGTGGAACTCTCTTGTGATGAGGTTGTCGAGTTCCTTCGAGTTGGATGCGTGGGCAAATGTGAGCCCAGTGAGACTTGTGTCCGCCACCTCTGGTAGAGTAGTTGAAACGCCATTGACGGAGTTAGGAGCATTGCCGGTCGGGGTCTGGCGGATGATAAAGGTGAAGTTGAAGATTAATTCTTCGTCATTTGACAGGCGTAGCATGAACGTTGGTACTGAGAGGGAGGAGGGAGTGTCGGGATCCTAGAGTGTTTCGAGGGGCTTTGGTCAGCTCTATGCAACGGAGGTTCAGGCTGCTACGGTACAATCATACCTGGATATATTCAATCGGGGTATCATCCCCAGCATCGCGCTTAGCTGCGAACCTCGCCGCAGGAAACGCGTTGGGAGACAGAGTCAAAAGACGTCGTCGGGAGTTACTTATCGTGACCGATGCGATCGAAACTAAGAGGTTTTATCAGTATATTGAACCAAGACAAAGACTTGGGCGACTTACAGCGATTCTGGTCCTTGAAGAACAGATTCCCCACATCGTCGAGACGGCTGGCGACATTCCCCATGATGGCGCAGGCAAAGGGATCAAGTCACGGCGCGAGAAAGGGACCGAAGCAGCGGACCAATCGATGGCCATCGACGGTCTGCGAACCTGCAGTCGGATGGCCTTTGAAATGAAGCAGCGTGCGAAAGAGCCGAATAATCCGTCATTCGTGAAGGAAAGGTTGTCTAAGGGGGGGAGAGAGGAGAGCTCGAAGATCTGGAGGAGGCGGGGCGATCGAGATCGGAGAAATGCGCAAATCGCAAGCAACCGCCCCCAACGAGTTGTTTTCGAAGGCTTCTTATTCTATGTAGAGTTCTTCGTTTAGGTTATTAGGTTAAGTTATTTCTACGAGGTTTCGTTGTGACTCTATTGACTGTAGGGGAGTGAAGCAAGAAGGAAATGAGAACTCCGCAACGCGGCCTAGAAACAAGTATATGATATTAATGCAAGTAGAAAGAATTCCGTCTCATCGTTGGTATCAACTGTCGTGAATGTCATGAGACTCGGTGCCAGACCGAGAGAGCAAAGAAAAGCAAAGTATCGAGTCCCGAGTCCTCAGCTTACGAGCTGACTGGGGGCCTCGTGATTGGGGTCGGTGGTGATGGCTCGAGGGGCTTCGGGTCGCTGACTCAATCGAATCTCAGTAGTCGACGCCGCGCGCTCTCGACCAGAAAAATACCGGTGTTTGGGGCGATCTGCGTGTCCATCCGCTTCTACCCATTTCATCACCTGTCCTCGCAGGTCGCGCATCTCGTGAACTCGTCGAGATAGGTCCCCACGTTGTTTGCCTTGTCCACTGCGTGCATTGAGCTCGTCTTCATCTGAGCTGGAGATCGATAGCGACGATGCACTGCTTTGCTGCAGGAAAGTAATAACATTGCCCTCGTGCTGTTTGAATTCGCGCTGCTCTTCCTTCATCTCGCTCATACGCTCCGCGTCCGCTTGGCAATCCAGGATCGAAACGTGGAGACCAGGGAAATTGGACGACATGAACTCCTGCAAAAGGGGCAGCTTCTCTGGGTTGGGACGGTAGGTACCACTGTCGTTGTCAATAAAGAGTTCATAGTCGGCTGGGTCAGTCGAAATTTCCAGAGTCTCCCCGTTCTGTTCAGACTCGTGGTCCTCCATGGGAATCTCGTTTTCAACCTCGGTAATGGTTTCAGCACGTTCAATGCGCGATCCAGCAGAACGATGGCGACGACGATGCTTGCGTCGGCGAACGAAGAATTCACCCGAGTAGGCAATATAGATCGACACATCACTATGCATAGTGTGCTTGCTCAGCATGTCAATACCAAACTCTTTGCCAGTCTCTGTGAATCGGAATTGCCCGTCCAAGGTCAAAACGTAGGTAAAGATACGTCCACCTTGCCCGTAGTGCACAAACTCCAAGAACTTTTGCGCGAATTCGCGACATGGCCGCATAAATGAGCCATGCAGGGTAGTACGATCAAAGTTGTAGATGCGCTGGTGCTGGTGATGGAGGGCCTTATGTAAAATGCGTCCTCGCAGACTTTGCGCCTGGAACATACCCGCTACAAACGGCTTGAATTCCACATAGCGGTGGTAGAGTTCTGATGGCACAGGACCCGTAAGCTGCATTTGAATGGCTTGGAAACTGTTATTTCATTAGCGCGTGGAAGAGGGTAAGAGAATGGAATGACTAACTTGTAGCGACTGACTGACCTCCCACTGCCATCTTTGCATTGGACTTGGTCTTTGATGCCAGCCAGCCGTCCGATCAATGGAGAAAAGTGCTTGAACCAGTGGTTAGGGCCAATCGTGTACAGTTGGCCCCCCTCAGTGCCGGGAGTTCTGCCCAGGCATTCAAGGCTGACCACCAAGAATGACTCCTTGTGATGGCCTGTAGCGAAAGCAGTGACATTAGTGAAAACGTAAACGCGCTTACTCCCAAAGCGCTTCTTGACCTTGAATGATTTCTCTTTGAAGCCTGGCCAATCCTCCGAGAGCGCAGGAACTTCGATGAATGTGAGTCCTAGCTTATCGTCATGGTCCGCGGCGTCCTCGTCCATGACATAGGACTTCAGAAGGCAACCTGAAGCTGGCACGTTTGCAACAATCCACTCGCATTCCCACACGGGATTCATGTCCTTGCGAATGGTCGGGGTGCGAAATCTGACCGGAGGATCCTGTTTATGGCGGCGCGGTAGGCTGACGACCATTTGTGCAGAGACGTACGGGTCAGAAGAGAAACTGCCGAAATCCGCGACAGGCAGATCGTTTGCGCGATGAAACGTGATCTTAAGGGTATAGCCTGGCGGCGCATGCGGGAACGGAGTGGCATCGAAGCCTCCAGCGGGCTTGCTGTTCTCTTTCATAGTGATCCGGCGTTGTATCTTGTCAGCCTTCTCGACAAACTTGGGGCCATATTTGTCGATGGGATGGACATGCAACGACTGCGGTTGAGTGTCTTCAGTGTCCATGGTGGGACAGTGAGGTTCATATACATGTAAGACCCTGTGATGTAATAAGATAAATATAAAGACGTTTCCAAAAAAAAAACTAGGGATCAGGGGAAAAGGAAAGTTCAAGTGGGTAGAGCCAAGCTTTCAGCCTTACAAATGAAGAACCCGCGTCGGGTCCAGGCAGCAGAGATATAGATTGCCAAGCATGACCTCATGGGGTCAAGTCCATGGTTCATTGGTGCGTTGTGCCTGGTTTTCCTTGCTTTTCAGCCTTATAGATCTACATTTAATTTCATTTGATACATGAAGTACGTTGTTGTGGAGGATCAAAAAAGAGCAGTGAGCCACATAAATCTAAATATACATAATCGTGAAGGTCGGATAGGTAATATCACCCTTGCACGTCGCTGAGACTGACGAAGGTGGCGCATGGGAACTTAGCTTCCACGGAAGAGGAACTGCATGTCTTCCGGGGTGAGTTTCTCCAGTGCTTGGGCTTGATCCCTGTTCAAGGTACCCCGGATGAGGTTGGCTTTTTTCTCTTGGAGTTGAATGATTCGAGACTCAACCGAGTCTTCGATGCAGAGCCGGGTCACAACGCAGGGCCGTTGCTGGCCGATTCGATGACTGCGATCGGCGCTTTGCCATTCCGCGGCGGGGTTCCACCACGGGTCGATGATGAAAACTCGCGAGGCCTCTGTCAGGTTGAGAGCTACGCCGCCAGCCTTGAGAGAAACCAAGAAAACTTCAACCTCAGGTTTAGTCATAAAGTGTTCAATGGATTTCTGCCGTTGCGCCGGGGTCATGGATCCATCCAGCATAACAGTATTAAACCCTGCATGTCGCAGACGCCACTCGACGAGCTGCAGCATGGAAGTGAATTGAGAAAAGATGATCGACTTGGGAGTATGGCTCTTGCTTCTCTCTTGGTAGAGTTCATACAGAAGCGTCTCAATTTTGGTCGACGAGGTCCAATTCTCCATGGAGATGCGGTTGATGATTGAATTCTTCTTGGCAGACTCCTCCGAGTGCGCAAGCGTTGGTTGTTCTAAATCAATGGAAAGGGTAATGTGGCAACGCGGACAGTCAACGTATTTTTGTTCGTCCTGGAAAGACTCGATGTAGTCTTTGGCACACTGGCGGCAGAATTCATGGCGGCATTGGGACCGGATTGCATCTTCGGCGGGTTCGTCACAAACACAACACACAGCAACGTTGAACCCTGGCTGCGTGTTCTTCTTTAGGATGAGATCCGGATGATTGGCGACTTGGCGCATCTGCATAATCAAACCGAAGATATTGGCATAATTGTTCAGCATGACACCACGGCTGACATATGTGTCAAATTCCCGGGTGGTATTGGTCATGATGCTGCGTGAAAAATCGTGTTCAATCTCGCCAAAGAATTCATTATGCAATGTAATTCTGAGAAACAGGATGTGTCAGCGAAGAAACTCCTATGTGACGCTGAAGTGTGACTGACCGTTTAGGTGGAAGTTCCATAGAAGAAGTATGGTCTTGCTTCATCCGTCGAAGCATGATGTGATCTGTGATCAGGCGAAGTTTCTCTAGTCCGGCTTTTCGTTCTACCTGTGTTCTTCCCTCGGTGACTGGAATAATCAGATATGTAAGACTATGATTAGTGAGGGGTGTCTTACTTGGACCAAGGATTTCCTTGTTGAAGATTGAGATATGGTTGAAGCCCCTGTAAAAGTCAAAATAAGAAATCAAGAACAAATTCTTAGGGTCCTTACGTGTGAGAGCATTCAGTGCAGCGGCCCGATTTATCAGCAGTCCACTGTAGCTGCTCGCAATCGCATTGCTTGCAAAAGTAACAGGCGAATGGCCGGACTTTCAGGAAGCGTAAGAGAGAAAAGAACTCTCCTATTCGATTTTGCACAGGTGTGCCAGAAAGACACCATTTGTAATTAGCTTGCAAGGCAAAGCATGCCTTGGCAACACCTGTAGTGCGTTGCTGTCATAGGTTAGCGAGATATGAGAATGACAACCCGGGAACTACATACTTTGATGCTGTGTGCCTCATCAAGGATGAGGCGGTGGTAGTTGATTGAATGAATAACGCCTGATTAATCAAGTCAGAAATGACTCCGATATAACATGTTGCGATACCTACTGTCTGCTTTAACGATTGTCTGGCCGCGAGTGAAGCCCTTCTCCTGCTTTCGATGGATAGATTCCAAGCTTGAGTCTGGTTAAAATAGTTAGCCCAACTTCCATAGTGATCCAAACGCGCGAGAAAGAATGAAAACGAACAGGATATCATGATAACGTTATATTTTCGGAGGTCCTTTGGCGTCATGGTCTTGACCTTTGAATCCGAGTTATGATAAACAAGAACTTTCAATTTGCCATCTGTGTATTCCTATAGGATTTGTCAGTCCAAACACGGAGAGGCTTGCACCAAGACATACCTGGATCTCAGATACCCATTGCATCAAAGCAACTGGTGGTACAAGGACTAATGTAGGGTCAGGCTGAGGGAAGTCAGACATGATCAGCGATACGGCTTGAATGGTCTTTCCCATCCCCATCTCATCACCGAGCAAGCCACCACGATACTCGGTCTGCTCCTGTTGCATCATCCAGTTCAAGCCCTGAAGTTGGAATGGTTTCAACTTTCGAGTGATGGAGGCTGGCTGCTTAGCTGGCTCTGGCGCAATGATAGGCCGGGATTTTAGATCATCCCACATGGTAATAATTGCAGGGTGTTTCTTCTCGAGCTTCTTTCGGTCGGCTGCCATGCGGCGGGCCTTTCGTTGTTCTTCCCAAGTTGGTGGCAGGTCTTCTTCGGAATCAACTAATTGATCGCTGTAGCCGTCGGAGTCAACTTCTTCGAAAGGGTCCTCGGGGGCAAAAAAAGGATCGGTGGTATCATATCTCGATGGACCTGCATGGTTCCCTTCGAGTAAACCCGGTGGCTCGGGGCTTAATGGGGAGGACACAGCCTTATCACCCATTGCCGACTCATCGTCCTCCGCTGCCCATCCTTCAACAGAGGAAAGTTCATCTTGATCGGTAGGAGCCCTGGAGGTTTTTTGTCTCTTTTGGGGCTGGTTGTATTCCTCCATCTGGAGTTTATGCGCCAGAGCAGCATCAGAGGCCTCGCGGACATCATCTTCATCCCGGGTAGCCGTGGATCGCTTGGTCCCTCTTGAAGAGAGCCCCATGGACAATGTGCTTGACCGGAGTTGACTTGCACGATCAGATGCATTGATACGTGCTGGAAATTTGGTGCCGGTGGCTTCGACACTAGTAGCTGGTGTATTGTAGCCCGTAGAAAGTTTCTCAGATGAGCTCCGAGAATTCGAAACACTGAGTGAACCATTTTTTGAGGCCGACACTACCACTGCGATATTGCGTGATGCTGGTGTTTCTGGCGCCATCGAATCTGAACGATCGATGTAATCTGCCTCGTCCGCTTCGGAATCCTGGATGACGCGCTGAGATCGAGATCGGGATCGAGGAAGGGATGATCCACCCACTCTCAGGGGCTGTGATCGACGGAGGGGCGATGAATTCCTCAATGACGTTTCGCTGAAATGTGAATCATCCTCGGAATCAGGGATGGTAGTTCTGGGCCGAAGGCTGCGCCTCATGATCGTGAGACAGAATGAAAGCGTGGAAAATCGACGGAAAGCAAGGAACAATGCTGGCACTGAGCAAGATACTGGACAAAAAGAATTTATTAGCCTGTATTTACATACACGTGAAGTGATGATGTACTTAGCAAAGTCAGCCCCAAATTTTCGGAGTCGTGGAACCGGCAGTCCAGGAGTCTAGGAGCCTGGGAGTTTGAAGTTGATGGGAAGAGTAATTGTAGTTTGAAGGAATAGGAGAGGAGCAGGACTGAAAGAGCGTGAAAAGAAATAGTGAAAGGGAGAAAGAATGAATGTGAAGGGAGAAGTGATCGATCGATCCAGCGGTGCCTGAACCAGAATTTTCTTCGCGGGCGAATCCGATTCCAACTTCGCAAGGTTTCCAAGGTTTTGAGACCTCAGAGATTTCGAGATTCACAGATTCACATAAAGACTTCCTCTACCTCTTCATTTCCAACCTTCGATCTTCGACCTTCACTCTCTCGACTCCGCACCCTTATCTGATAAGAGCGCGTTAAGTGAAACGCGAAATCGCCACGAGTCCAGTGACTTGCAAGTCAACATGTATGTCCCCCTTCTACCACTTCATGATATTATTTGACATCTGACATGATTTAGGGCCCAAAGACGACAGGCACGGAATATCCGGGGCCCGTATGCTTTTCTCTCCCACTTGTATTCCCAGATACTGACAACAACAGGCGCTCCGCTTTGACAGACTTCCTTGCTGTATGTTGGATTCCGGGTATTATCGAGCACTACTGACAAGTTCCAGTCAAATAATATTTCGGCTGCACAAATTCGAGATGATTATGACCGTCGAGCCACAGGGGCAGCACAGCAGTCTCCTGAAGCTGAAGCCGAAGCCGAAGCCGCTCATTCGCCCAATACCGCTGAAAGCAATGGCTCCCCAGAAACAAACTCCCCAGAGGATGTGACCAAAAAGCGCAAACGGCAACAGGCTATTGCCAAAATCAAAAATTCCAAGGCTTTTGCACGCCGTAAGGCACGACGCACTGGGGACGATGACGATGATGATAATGCCCTTGCCGGGCAGATGGTTGATGAGAAGCAACGTCCAAATCCAGGCCAGCTAGAAAACTGTGAAATTTGCGAGAAGCGTTTCACAGTCACTGCATATAGCAAGACCGGTCCCAATGGAGGTCTGCTATGTGCCGATTGCTCTAAGAAGCAAAAGGGGGACGAGAAAAAGGCCCCTGCTAAGAAGCGTGGCCCTGGCATCGGTCGCCGTCAAAACCAAGCCAACTTGCTCGACGGTTTGACTCTGCATGGGACTCAGAGCTTGTTGGAAACTTGCATCAAGGCATGTGCCAAGACATGAAGAGCCATTCAAATACTAACTTTGTTCCAGAAAGTTGCTGATAATATACACGATGTTGATGAATTCGGTGACCTGCCTCCATCATTGCTGCTCCGTCTTGGTCAGATCTTGTCTAGAAGACGGGCTGTGACTTCTCGGACTTTGGAATTGTTCTTGCGCCCTCGTTACAAGTCCATTGACCTGTTTGACTGTGCTAGTAGGTGCAAACTCTCACCAAACAGCCAGAACCAATGCTAATTTGTGTGTAGAACTTGGTACGGATGATTACCACAAAATTCTTGCCTCTATGCCTCACCTCACTAGAGTCAATCTGCGTTTCACCACTCCAATGAAGGACTCTATTTTCGATTACATGATCGAAAGTGATATGGAAATCAAAGACCTTCATCTGGATGGGCCAAATCTGGTGACTGATGACTGCTGGCGTCGGGTTTTTAAGAAGCTCGGTCACAGACTGCAGGGTCTGAAACTCTGGAATTTGGATTCTGCTTTCGATGATGAGACTGCTCTGGTAATGTGCAACAATTGCCCTAACCTTCAGCGACTGAAATTGAAATTTCTCGCCAAAATCGGAGACAAAACGCTCGAGGCAATCTCTACTCTCAGGCATCTTCAGCATTTGTCATTGCATCCAATGCCAGAGACCAAGGCGAAAACCGAGTCTCTTGTTCAAATCATTGCCGCTGTTGGGCCTAAGCTCAATACTCTGTCTCTTGAGGAGTTTGAGTTTGTCGATGATCGTCTCCTCCAGCACATCCATGAGCATTGCCATGCTTTATCCAAGCTTCGGCTTACCCTGAATGCGACCTTCACCGATCAAGGATTAGCCGATCTTTTCCAAGGGTGGTCCAACCAGGCTCTTACCTATGCGGACTTTCATTCTCTCCGAGATGTGGACATGTCAAATCCCACCGGTCCCCCGGAGCCTGTCGGGCTTGCATCCAATGGTTTTATTGCCTTGATGAAGCACTCGGGCTCAAAACTCCAACACTTGAACATTGCCTCTTGTCGCCACGTTTCCTACAAGGCATTCGAGGAAGTGTTTGCAGAGGACAAAAAATACCCTGATCTCAAGTACCTCGACATCTCCTTCAGCACTGCGGTGGACGACTATATTGCTCAGTGCATCTTCAGATGTTGTCCATCACTGCAGAGGTTGGTTGTTTTTGCTTGCTTCAAAATCCGTGATATCCACATCCCTAGAGGACTTGCCGTCATTGGCACTGTGGGTGCAAACCTCAAAGTCGATGGAATTACTCAATCTGAAACCATCTAATTGGTATCAAGGTCTGATAAAAAAGGAGAATTATCATCGATGGTTCATTTTAGCCATAATTATGGGCAGTGACAAAGCATACATCGTTCAAGCTGAGAAGGTTACCGAAATTTATATGTGTAAAAACACCCCGTGCCATTTTCCAGCCAAACCCTGGCCTCCTATTGGCTGATGGTGTAGTCAATTCTAGGAACTATAAACCGACGCACTTGAATGTGAACAAAATAGAAGAGAGAGACGTGAAAAAAGGGTTAAAAAAGCGATGAGAAAGAAAGCCTAAATAAAGGAAGACTACCAGACCATAAAGCGGTACATTTGTTATAATAGTTCGTAAGAGAATAAAATCTTCTATCGATGACACTGTTCACAAAGCCATTACCCAGGTTATGTTGGAAGCTATATAAACCTAAGTGTATAGTGTAAGAGTGCTGAAGCGACCGATCCTTGGAAGACCCGCCTGCAACACCCTTGCCTTACAGGGTGCCCAAAAGGGCGCTCCAAACATCTTGTGAATATATATATATATAACACATCCCCTTGTTCCATAGTAAAGCAGATGAACAAACGGATATGATCGTATACCCCTCAAACTAACAGATACCAAATACAATTTACTTGTTGGTTGTGGTAGAACATCATTCATTTAAGCAAACATATCTTGAGTCCAAACGCCGCGACCTGCTGTAATACAATACATACACAAAGATGAACAAGAAGTGATTCGTCGAAACATTTCATCAGACCTCTTAAAAAGCCATTCTCTTTCCAATTTCACTTTGCCAGCCCCGCGTCCTTTCGAAACCGTTGGACGCGGTCTGGTAGTCAAGCATGGCCTGGTAGACTTCCTCCTGGGTATTGAGCACGAACGGGCCATACTGAACGACCTTCTGGTCCAGTGGCTGACCAGCCACAAGGAAGATGCGAGACTCCGCTTCCGCATTGTCTGGGACGGAAAGCTCGACAAAGTCACCAGCCTGGTCAAACTGGACATTGTGGAACTCCTTCACAACGCGGGTTGAATCGCTTGAGCCAAAGACAGTTTCTCCGGCCAAGGTGTAGGCAAATGCATTCCAGCCCTGTGGTAGAGGCTGCGAAATCTTGCCACCAGGCTTGATAGAGATATCTAGGATCCAGACAGGGGTGTATGCCAAATCGCGCACAGAGTCAACGCCGTGCGACTGGCCAGAGATGACCTTGACAATGACCCGGTCGTCGTCAGGCTTAGCGATAGGGATCTCACTAGCTCGTAGGTCACGGTAGCGGGGCTCGCACATTTTCAGCTTCTGGGGCAAGTCAACCCACAACTGCATACCGACGTTGGGACTGCCGTCCTCATTCTCGTGAGGCATCTCGGCATGCATGATACCGCGGCCAGCGGTCATAAATTGCAGGTCACCGGGTCCAATAGTACCCTTGTTGCCAGCAAAGTCTTCATGGTCCACGCCACCGGACAACAGATAAGTGATGGTTTCTTGACCACGGTGGGGGTGGTCTGGGAAACCAGCCCCCTTGCCGATGGTGAAATGGTCAAGCATGAGGAACGGACTGAAGTTGCGCAGCTTGGCAGTGCCAATGGACCGGCGCACACGAGCACCTGCGCCCTCTGCTTGCTCAATGGCGAGGAAAACTTGGCGAATTGAGCGAGGAACAGCCATTTCTGTGACGGGAAGAACTACAGGGATCGGTTGTTCCTGGTCGAGAGTAGTTATCTGAGGGATAATAGCTTCTTTCTTTGTAAAAAGCTGTAAGAATGGAAGTTTTTTGCCGATAAATATGACGAGAGAGTCTTTGATAGATGGGTTATAAGCAAAGAAGATTGCGGTGATGCAAATTAGAAGAGGTAGAAGGAGTTTCATGGATGGGAGGCTACTACTTATACCAGAGATGTGAAGTAGGTAGAATGTTAGGGAAAGGATGTCAGCGTTAGTCAATTTCTCATGAATACTTCAAGACCCAGAGGCATGTACAATTGCTAAGACATCAGTCAGCCATCTCGGGCCAATCGCGAAGCCAATTGACTGGCGGACTTATGACAAAATGCCCCGTCAGCAACCTCTAAGCAGAGACTAACCGTATGCGGTTAGAGAAATTAGGTCAGCATTCACTGGGGCCAGGCGTGAGATGAAGCATGTAAGAGATATCCATGGATGTATGTTTATATGAAAATCACTGGCAGTGTTGAATATATGTATGTATATCTCAGTATCACAGAGGGCATACTAATCAAACTCACAGTGGCGTGTAGCCCGAATAGAAGCGATAGTGCACGTGGGCAAATATTAGCATGTTTATTACTATATAAGACCAATCATGATCACATATATCTAGTTACTCTGTACAGTACATTATCTGGGCACTTATCATCCGAATACTGAGTAGAAGCAGTGTGGTCACTAAGTATATCTTTTTTGCGGCATGGCCACTGGAACCTGGTTACCTTATCAGATAAGGCCACGCAGCTCCTCTCACTTCTCAACTCGCTATTGCGTACCCTTTTCTACTCTTTGGACCTGCGAAACTCATATCCGAATGAACGATACCGTATGAAGCGCGTGTCATTCCAATCTGCAGATTGAAGCGTCTTGCGACTGCAACCTGCGCGGGGAAGCTTCAGGTCCCAACATTCAGATCCCCCGGACTCCACCAGAGCCTTCGATTATTCTGTGATCGGATCTGATCGGATCGGATCGGAAAGATGGATCAGATTACTAGACTCTCGCCATGGCTGGTGCTAGCATGTGCTGTATCCAGTGCGTGGGCGAGTAAAAAGCCGTTCAACATTAACGAGGACATCCTGGCTTATCCCCAAGTATGTCAAATTTATGCCCTTGATACCGCGTTAACTTGTATTCTGACACTCTACTATCGCTAGTATCAAGTGACTTTCCCCGAGGAATATGTCCTTGAAGTCCAGGCCGACGCATTGCTCCAATCGCAAGCCAACCCCGACGCAAGACAACCCAACAATGATCAGAACAAGCCTCAGCTCTACATGGGCAAGGAGCGAAGCGATCCCTCTGACCTTCCTCAAGGGGAGTTCGAACGTCCTTTATTCACGTATGAAGAAATGATTATTGAAGACCGACGACTTCTCTGCCAGATCCCGCTTGTTACGAACGACGACCACAATACGACAAGAGACAAAAGTGACAGCAAAGCTGAAGAGCAAAAGGAGCTAGCTCGTGCAACGGATCGTGGCCTGGAGCTTCTACGCGAGATGGAAGGGAAATGCATGTACTATTTTTCCGGCTGGTGGTCCTATTCCTTCTGTTACCAAAAGCAGATCAAGCAGTTCCATGCACTTCCTGTTGGTCGTGGTATTCCCCACTACCCACCAATTGAAGATACAACAACACATTCTTTCATATTGGGAAGATTCATTGGGGACAAGGACGAGGAAGATCCCAAACCGGCCAAAACAGATGTGGCAGAGCTTCATGCCAAGGGTGGCTCACGTTACTTGGTCCAGCATCTCCGGGGCGGGACTAAATGCGATCTTACCGGACGTGAACGTAAGGTAGAGGTGCAGTTTCATTGCCATCCGCAGTCGACAGATCACATCGGGTGGATCAAGGAGCTTGCAACGTGCTCTTATCTGATGGTTATCTACACCCCTCGCCTGTGTGACGATGTTGCCTTTTTGCCACCGCAGCAGGATGAGGTGCATAATATCGAATGCCGCGAGATTCTGATGCCGGACGAAGTCACTGAATGGGAAGCTATCAAGGAGTGGTACAAAGTTAACAAACTGGCCGACGCAGCCGCCGATGCTGATACCACCCAGCCTGAACTTCAAATTGTCGGAGGGATCGAAGTTGGAGGTCGAAAGCTTGTCGGCATGGAGGGCAAGCAAATTGAAAAGGGTCGAGTAGCTTCTGCGGGTGAGGAACGTGTGGAGGTCGTTGCGAAACGCGAGAATGGTGAAATCCGCAAAATCTCCAAGCAAGTTCTGAAGAAGTATGATCTCGACCCGGAGAAGGTGGAGGACATGAAGAAGTTACTGGATGAGCAAGCAGATGGTAAAGATTGGACGCTTGAGATCGTGGAAACCAACGGGGTGATCATGTTCCAAGGCAAACTCGCCGAGGATGAGGATTGGGATGATGATGATTTAAAGCCGGAGAAATCGCCTAAGGATGCGACATCTCGAGACGAACCTCCCACAGGCCATAAACCGAAGCAAGAATCCGAGCCAGTTGAGGAGCGCAACCCGGCACGACAGTCTGAGAAGCTCGAAGGTGAAGGCAGTGAAGAGACATTCAAAGATGAGCTATGACATTGTATAGTAAACCATGTACGTTTAAGAATTTCCCATATTTCCAACCTATCCTCAAGTCATATGCCCGCGTGTTGTAGATATGCCCGTTAGTTTCATGCCCAAAGACGTCAGATGCCCCAATTGCCCGAGAACCGAGTGGTGGGAGCACATGGAATGATAAAGGGGCATATCAATCCAGAATAAGTATCAAGAATGAAATACAGTAAGATAGAAAAGCAATTCATGCATCAATTGATGTTCAAGCGAAGCGGGAAAAAATAGCATAGCATACGTAGGCAACGTGACTCCGTGAACCTACCGATCGCCCCGGCCCACCTTCCCACCCTCCCTGATCCAACCTTGGCCTCCCTCTCCCTCTCTCTTCTCCCTCAATCCCCTTGGACTTGTCTTTTCCCTCGCAGAACTCTACCTTATCTCCCCCTGCCTGCTCCGCGCACTAAAGGCCAAGGCTGACCGAGCAGCCGTCACTTCCCCGTTCCCTCGACTACACTCCGATCCCCGACAACACTCCGATCCCCGACAATTAGCGCTGGCACGTGTAGCAGACGCTGCCACTTGCAGCTGCAGGATATTCTGACATAACACTCGCTGGTGCCGTGAGATTACTCTTCATATCTACTATGGGGTTCCTCGGTGTCTATTCGGCTGTGTACGATTACCAGCCACAAGGAGAGGGTGAACTCCAGATCCACGAAGGAGACCTGCTGTATATCTTGGAAAAGAACTCGGACGATGATTGGTGGAGGGCTAAGAAAAAGGCCGATCGGGATGATGAGGATGAACCCGAGGGTCTAGTCCCCAGCAACTATGTCGAAGAGGTGAGTTTCGGAATGCTCATGGGCTGCGAGAGCACTATGCGAGTACTCCACGCATGCTCTCGTGCTTCGTGATTAAGCGCACCATGCTTGTACGAACAAGATCTGATTACTTGACTTGCATAGGCGCAACCAGTACACAGAGCCACGGCCCTTTTTGATTACACGCGACAGACCGATGAGGAAGTGTCTTTCTCTGAAGATGCCGAATTGCTGGTGTACGATATCTCGGACCCGGATTGGACATTGGTAGGGATCAACTCAGATTATGGATTTGCGCCGTCAAATTACATAGAAATCATTGAGGATACTGCCTCTGCTGCAGCGCATGTCCCTACTCCACCTTCTGTTTCAGCCGAGCCTGCGGCACCGTCTCTTCCACAGCGACCAACGCAAGGCTTAGAAGAAGAAGTTGAGGCACCTCCGGCTAGTTCCCCGATTGATTTGTCTCAAAACCCCGCTGCTGCTGCGATTGCCGATATCATCCACAAACAGCATGCTCCCACGGGTCTTCCTACCGAGTCATCTAGAGACGAGCCTCCGCCACCCAGTCTTCCAGTCCGACCATCGTACGACGAAGCAGAGGATCGCAATGGGGAGTCTCCGCCCCCTGCTCTACCGCGCCGACCACCTTCGGAGCATGCAACCCCACCGATGCCTCAGTATTCCCCAGAGCCCTCTCCAGCGCCACCTCGCCCCCAGCAGGCAGCGCCTTCTTCACTTAATCGCGATGGAACTCGCGTCAAGGCTTCCCCACCTTACAATAGGGCCGGTGAGATGACACCGCGATCTCCTTCCGGATACCATATCTATAACATCAATGAAATGGTTGAGGTAATGGGCAAAAGAAAGAAGATGCCAACAACACTGGGTATTAACATGGTTACTGGTATCATTTTCATTTCTCCTGAGGGAGATGACCGACAACAAGAATGGAGTGCGGAAAAGCTCACTCATTACTCGATTGAAGGCAAGCATGTCTTCATTGATCTTGTGAGGCCAAGCAAGAGCATTGACTTCCATGCAGGAGCGAAGGACACTGCCCAAGAGGTTGTTGCAGCGCTCGGCGAGATTGCCGGAGCCTACAGGGCTGAGGGATTGCGTGAGGTCCTAGAAGCCGGAGAAGGCGGCGGCCAGAAGAAGGGCCAGATTCTTTACGACTTTATGGCACAGGGCGACGATGAAGTGACTGTGGCTGTGGGTGATGAGGTTGTCATCATAGATGACAGCAAGTCTGAAGAGTGGTGGATGGTGCGGCGATTGAAGAACAATAAGGAAGGCGTTGTCCCTAGCAGTTATGTTGAAATCACAGGAATGATGACCAAGCCACTTCTTCCAGAGGACCCAGGTCTGACGAGTGTGGAAAAGAATCGAAGAGAAGAAGCCCGACTGACCAAACTTGCAATGGGCAAGTCACGCACGGACTCGATGGATTCTTCGGACCGCCAGAAGCGCGACAGCAAATCGAAATCCAAACCAGACCCGAAAAAGGTTCGCAAATGGACAGATCGTTCCAAGAGTTTCACCGTGGACGCGCAGTTCGTAGGTCTTCATGATGGAAAGATTCATTTGCACAAAGTGAATGGTATCAAGATCGCCGTCCCTGTCTCGAAGATGTCTGTTGAAGATTTGGAATTTGTGGAGAAAGCCGCCAACGTTTCACTGGAGGAGGATAAACCCCTCTCAAGCCTTAAGTCTCGAGTCACTCCCGAGGCCAGCAAGTCTGGAGCTTCCGTGCAACACCCCGAGTACGATTGGTTCGACTTCTTCTTGAAGGCTGGCGTTGGGCCACATCGGTGCGAACGTTATGCGCAAAGCTTTATCAAGGATTCAATGGATGAATCTGTGCTTCCCGACATTAAGATGGAAACGCTTATTACTTTGGGATTGAACCAGGGTGATGCTTTGCGTGTTATGAAGGTCTTGGATAACAAATACAACCGTGTCGACAAATCTAAGCCTCGAAATGTGAGCTTTGGGGGTGAAGAATTCATTGGCAATGGGGATGATGGAGGGCAGGGTGGTCTATTTTCTGGGCCCGGTGGTACACTGCGCAACAACACTCGCAAGGGCAGGCCCACCCCAAGCGTCCAAGCTGGGGATGTTGTTGATCCGAAGGTGTTTGGACAGACAGACGACTCCAAGTCCCAGGACAAACCGGCAAGTCCACCTCCTGCCGAGCCAGAGAAGCCCGTTGCACGCGGATTTGACGACGATGCTTGGGAGGTAAAGCAGCCAAAGCAGCCATCCACGGCATCTGTGTCTGCTACCTCGACACCGCCGGCGGCAGCTCAGGCTCCAATCCAAAAGCAAATCACTGGAGCAATGGCGGATCTGACTCTGCTTCAAGCTCCTTTGCAGCCCACCCCTGCACAGCCCACAGGCACCGCACAGCCAGTTCCGCCCATGCCGGCTCTTCAGCCGCAACAAACTGCAGTGCAGTCACCGGTAGTACAGCCTCAGCAAACAGGTGCCACGCCTAGCTTCTTTAACCAAGTGGCACAGGCAGGGCAACAGGACTTTAGCCCCCAGCAGACCGGATTCCAGCCAACACAAGCCCGGCAGCGCCCCCAGCCCCCTCAGGCCTTGGGACAAAACTCGCTGTTGCCTCCTCCCCCTCCACGTCCACTGTCTGCGCCACAGAACTTCTCGCAGCAACAGAGCTCCTTTGGGCTTCCTCCATTGCAGGCTCAACTGACTGGACTTCCCCAAGCCGGCCCTCCGGTTGCACCTCCCGGACAGAGCCTGAGTGAACTGAACCAGCAGCGTTTCCAGCCAGCAATGCAGCCACAAGCAACGGGATTCATGGGGCAGAACCAATACGGGAATGGCTTGATGCCTCAGTCGACAGGATTTGTTCCACAATCCCAATTCGGTGTCCAGCAACAGCAACAGCCATTTCTCCAACAGCCTGGCTTCCAGGGACTTGCATCGCAGCCTACAGGCTTTGGGGGATTTGCGCAACCTCAGCAACCAATGCCAACCGGTATCAACTCCGTTCTCCCTCCAGCATTGCGACCACAGCCCACTGGTGCGAATGGCTTTGGTAACCAGTACTCTGCAACCTCCCCACCCCCTGTGCCGCCGATTCCTCAGCAGCCCACAGCCACTCCTCTATCACCGCAAAAGACAGGGCCGCCTCCGTCCGTCAGATTCGGTGTCAAGCCTGACGGTCCCAAGAAGCTTGAGCCACAGCCAACAGGACTCAGGGCTAATCTCTCACAAGCTAGTATGTATTCTCTGTCTTAATCACAGTACAAAGGATGGACGACTAACCAAACTCTTCAGCACCCCATAATCCGTTTGGCTTCTGATCTGCGGTCCTCTTCGCTTGGTACTAGACTGGCGTATATAAACCCTGGTTATCCGACATTTGGACTCCTTTTTCCCTGCTACACCTTTATCTGATTTTTTGCTTGTTTCGGGGCTGGGATGATCTCTTCCATTGCAGCTTTTTTTTTTCTCTCTCTCTCTCTGGTGCTGGTGCTTTGGGACCGACACGCGTACATATCATGGCTTCTCTACCTCGTTTTGACACAGCGCGTATCGAATCTTACTACACAAATTATTCTACTCCCTTCCAGAAGTCCCACACTGAACAAAGCATCATATGCCTGCCCCCTTTGTGCTCCTTTGCAGATATGGTTGTCTCTCCCGTCCCGCATTTCTCGTTGTCTCTAGCCTCCTGCCATATAATTCCCATCGATGATGATGCTCATTGTGTGGATGTCTCTCTCTTTCCTATTTTCTCTTTCCTTTCGTACTACCTGGATGGTTCATTCTGATCTTGTTCTCCATTACTAGTTCATACATAACTCATCAATATGTTGGCAGCATTTCTGTTAGCAAAGTTTCTTTTCCTGGACAGCTTCCAGTCTTTGATAATGTATGTATGGTGCAGACGTAGCGAATTCAACATTTGTCAAACCCAGTTTTGATTTCGTTCTGCATCTTCGGCTTCGCTTGTCTGTGTCGTGAAGAGGGGGTAAAATCGCACGCCACCCAGGCAGAGACGTTGCTGTTGCTCCAACGCCTTCTTAAATAACTACTGGTGTTTGGTGTGCGAAATTAGCTCGAGGGATGATCTGAATGGCCACAATCGAAGGGTAGAGAATCTACTAAACTAGTAAACTTGGAGTAAACTCATCAGCCCCGGGGTATATAACGCCCGTCCCATTTGTCCGACAATAACAAAAAAGCAAATCGAAAGGAACCATCGCATCATTAATATCGTCCACCTCCCAAAACAGTGAAACACCGACCCATGTTAGCACACCTGCTTCCAACAAAGCAGCCTTCAGATGACAAAGTATCTTTGCCCGGTGCTTCTTTAATTACGGGTCTTCCGGCCAGATACCAAAATTTGGAAGATCCTCGGCCATATACAGTAAACCATTGTCTGGGAAAATTACATCAGAGAGAGGGGACGGGCCACCAGACACAGCAGGTTGTCCTGATGGAATGGTCCCCCCCAGGGGAGCAACCCACGGGGATCCCAGAAGTAGTCAGAGCGGATATTGCTGCATCATATGACAAAGCAGCAGCTTCATTCGTACCGTTGCAGAGGGCGTCCCATACATCGTCGCCGGCAGAGAATTGTGGTGGCTGTGGAGTGAGGAAAGAGGGTGGCGTGCCGCCAGTCAATTTGCCAGGGGAGGTAGGAGTTGGCACCGCTGCTGAGGGTGGATTACTCGGTCGGCCAAGAGGTGGAACATCACGACCGGTCCCCGAGGCCAGAGAGTTGGGATCTTCGCCGCCGCCAACTTGGCCAAAAAGTTGGTCAACCTGCTTACTGCGATGGTCCATCCATTGTCTATTTCGTCGTGAGACATACTCGGCCACGGCCCCACGGAGGTACTTGATGATTTGAAAAAAGCGACAGGCATGAGGATCATGCGGGACAAATAAGCCTAGAAATCGTTCGGCTTTGTTTATCCCCTCTTCTAATGGGAGAAGATTGTCGTAATCAGCGAAAAAGGCTGCGCCGAGCACAATGACGGAATTGAAGACGGAGTTGATTAGAAATGGTAGCCGTCGTGGGAGGGCGGCATAGTGACTGAGATCATCGACGACATCCAAGCCTCGCAATGCTGAATAGACACACGCATCGGCGAATAGTGCAATGCGAGAGCTCCCGTTTCGAGTCTCCTGAGTAGAAGATGGATCGGCTTTGCCCTTAACATATTGAGCAACGCGGTAGACAAGAAATGGCCGGGTCAGCAGGATGATTGACCAGTAATATGACCCAAACACATGGGCTGCAGCTAAACTGCTCTCCATGGTTTTGTTTTCGAGGCTTTCGGTCTGCATCTTGAGGATTGTTGGCAGGGTTCGAACCCAGGCCCGATGCTGATTCGAAATGTTCTCTGCGACATTGATTGATATCACTTGTTTCATATAGACATCTGTCAGAATCCGTTCAAAAATTCGACACAGTGAGATGACCGCAATGGAGAGCTGCTGTTCGGGTGTTCGAAGTGCCTGTGATTCTCCCGATACAAGGGCATCATCGCGTATGTCATAGTCATAGTCAGAGGTCGCTGGAGGTCGCCCTAAGGACGCGCTGAGGAAAAGATCCATCATGCGGAGACTCTTCCAAACTCGCTCTCTCGCCCGTTGTTCGCGTCCACAAAACAGTGCGTTTGCGTCTTTCCGGTGAATTCCCACCGCGTAAGCAGCACGCAAAGCAATTCCAAGGTTCATGAATGCGCCGTTACGTCTGCAGGCACCGAGCATGTACATGGAAACCAAAATGTATGATTGTATAGTATAGATGCTGGGGGTCTCCTGGAATGCCGAAAACGCTAATTGGCGACCACTGCCGAAGTATTGCTCGGCCAAGCTCTGGTCAATCTCGGAAACTTGGGCTCCGATGGCGAGTACCAGATAGAAAATGGAACTGACAGTGTCTTCATCGCCTGAGGGGTTGGCAACCCAGCTGGCAAGTCGCGGGTGGAACTCTTTCAGGTCAAACAAATCTAATAGAGGGCTTGTGGCAAGCACAAATTGGTGGGCTAGCTTGTGAGCCTCGTCGTCACTCGGAGGCGTCACCAGAGGCCCAGGTGGCTGGGAGCTGGGGTTGCTCTGGAAGGCCTCAAGCATGGAATGCCGCGAGTTGTCCTCAGTGAAATCGCATCGGCCAATTGAAGAGGTAACGACACGGCGCACACTCTGTAAGAAAGAAAGGCTTGCTGAATCGCCAATATACATGAACTTTCCTTGGCCATCGCGAAGAAGTCGCGCCACTTTGGGAACTGGAGCCGTCCCCTCCTTCTCATCCTTAGCCTGGTGCTCTAAATTCATTCCACGGTCTTCCAAAGAGTTCAAGAGTCGATCCATAGCCGTTTCCCTTTGCGGTGATGGTATCATGCGCTCACTAAGCAACATTGTCGAGTCTTTAACGTCGGGCTTGAGTGTACGTGCAGGCCGATCCGAAAAGTGGCATTCGGATTCCTTATGCCTTTGTACACAGATTGTACATGGTTGCTCGCCGTTGCATTTCTGTTTCCGCCGCTTACAACTATCGCAGGCTCGTCGACACCGGAGCCGAGCTCCCGGAGTGGTGCTTGCTCGAGGCATCCCGATAGCGCATGTAAAAAGGCTCAGGCGTTTGGAGTAGTGGTAGTCATCGAGACGCGTTATATAGGGCCTAGACCGAGATGTGAAAACTGGAGTCAAGTCATTACCTTGAAGATGCAAGTTTTAATAATTAAGTGCGGGCGTCTGCTTTCCCCGGACTCTGCGGGATGACTCAGCATCACCAGTGGGCCAACACTTCAAGGCTCTACTCCATAGACTTCTACGGTGTTTGATTCAATGGAAATTCCAGGCTTTCAGTTCATTGAATGGGATATATCTGGTATTGGTTGGGGGGTGGGGGGGGAAGATTACAGAAACGCCTCAAACTCCAAGGTCTATAAACAATGCGCTTCAGATGCAGATAGACATTATTCTATGCTTTGATCATGAAGATCTAAGTGATTTCGTTAGCAAACATCATAGAATTCTGAGCAAAGGAAGTCTTACCTCGTTGAGGGACTTGTCGTCCATCAAAGCCTTCTTCTTCTGGGCAATATAGCGTGACCGGAAGACATTCCGCCCAATAGGCCGCCTCTCCCCTGATACTGTTGGTGTCGCTTTGACTTCTGGTGCCAAAGCCTGATCAGAAGATTCAGTCGGCTCACCGTCCGCCTTTCTTTTCTTGGACTTCTTCTTTTCTTTCTTCTCTTTCTTTTCCTTCTTTTCCTTCTTCTCCCTCTTTTCCTTCTTTTCCTTCAATTCCGAGCTCGATTCTGTGCAATCCGTTTCCTCGGCCCCCGAGCGGTCTTTCTTTGATTTCGACTTGGTTTTCAACTTTTTGGACTTGCGCGTTGCATCATCTAACTCGCTTGAGCTAGAATATGAACTCTCGCTAGACTCTTTGTCTATGTTCGATTTTGTGGGGACATCCTCCTTCGGGGTCGGTGAAGCGATCTCAGGCTTCTGCTCCTGCGCCAATAGTCCTCCACTGACGAACCTGACCTCTGGGAACTTGAGGGCGGCATATCGAGCCAGTCTGACGTCGTCCCGCTTTCGTTCCTCTTTCTTGAGTTCCACGTCGCTCTTGCCGTTTAGTCGACCGAGTAGGCCCTTGAAAGCATCAAGGCCAGTGGGTTCCATAGGGTCGCGGCCGATGCGGGCGCCCAGTCCAAGGGTGTCGTCCTTGAGAGTGACTTTGATATGGGAAGCGCTGGCGGCGGTCAGCATATCGGCATGGGCAGCATCTCGGGCTCCCAGAAGACTGCCAGGTTTCCATCCCTGAGAACTCATGATCCGATGGCCGAACCCTGATGTGGAGCGGGTCCAATTGGTGTTGTTTGGATCATTGGAGATCTTGGTCTTCCTGTTCGCGGGTTAGATAAAGAAGCATGGGGTTATTTAAAGTGATTCCATACTTTCGCGGCCCTGCTAAACCCATGGTGGATTCAAGAAAGATGTAGTATGGGGGTTGAGGCTAGCAAGAAGATTTGCAAATTCAAAAAAAATCGAGACCGGGGAGCGGGATGAGTAAGCAGGCGATAAGACGATAACCACCAACCTCTACGGGGACAATTAACGACTCTCAGCACCGATGTTCTCTCGGTTTTCTATTTGTTGTCTTTTTTCTTTTTTCCTTCCTGGTTTATGAAATACTGAATTGAAAAGCTACGTTTACCTTCGCATGAGCCTTTGGAGGGTTGTTTTCTGGGAGGGGGTATATCACTCGCTCAAATAATATAAAGACATTGCCGACTTGGCAATGACACTGCTTCTCTTTGTCGCCTGATTCTCTCATCATGTCAAACCTCCGAGTTCTCTGCCGGGATTATCCTCAGCGTACAATTGCGTTGGTCTCATCAGACTATGCCCTAGTGTTCCATTACGCTTCAACCGATGCCGGTGCCAAAGACAACCCCCGCTGTCAGGTCGAGTTCTTGGATTTGGCCTTGGCAGACCTGGAAGGCTACAGGCCCCTGGGTATTGGATTTGGCACGCTTGGTCTCGTCACTTTAAATGAAGATGTGTTTGTCTGCGTGGTCACCGGCTCCTCACAGGCAGCCACTGTGCGACCCGGAGAAATTGTGTCAAAAATTGATAATGTAGGCTTCTGTGAGTTTGACCAATTTATCATTTTTTAGCCATTGAATTTGGTGCTAATAAAGGACAGATTGCTTGAATCGTGCAGAATACGAGTATGGCCTAGATTATGAGACTGGTACTCAATTCGCTGCAGATGAGCGCTCTGGCATGGACGGCAAAGATATGGTTACTGACCATCCTTTCTTGGCTTTGAAAAAACTGCTAGGGGATGGAAGTTTCTACTATAGCCTCGATTTCAACCTCACGGACCGATTGCAGGACCGGTAAAGCTTGATCGCTGACCAAAGAACATGAAATGAAGCTAACGGCTCTCACATAGGGCAGATAAATCTACAGCATTTGATATCGACACTTTAGATGAGGACATGCTTTGGAACTCGTACATGATCAATCCGCTTCTACTCTTCCGCAGTCACTTGCCACCTTCAGACAAAGCCAAACTTGATGCATCGCAAATGCTGACCTGTGTTATCCGGGGCTTCGCAAGTACGCTCAAGGTTCCAGCCACTGTCTCAATACTCCCTCATGTGCGAACAAACTTCCCATCAATGTTGACAATCATATCACGGCAATCATCGCGACGTGCTGGCACGAGATTCAACTCGAGAGGCATTGACGATGATGGCAACGTTGCCAACTTTGTGGAAACCGAAACAATCTTATGGGTTGCGCCGGGGATTGTTTTCTCGTATGCTCAAGTACGGGGCTCAGTGCCCATCTTTTGGGAACAGGCACCAGGTCTCATTCCAGGCCAGCAAAAGATCGAGGTCACTAGATCAAGTGAGGCAACACAGCACGCATTCAATCAGCACTTTGAAACTCTCGAGTTGGAGTATGGTGCTGTGCATGTGGTCAACCTCCTGAGTGAGCTGAAGCCGGGAGAAGCAGAGCTCTCAGCCAAATTTCGACACCATATCAGCAGGAGCTCGGTCAGACAGAAAGAAGGCACGGGGATTTCTCCACGTCGAAGTCTTTTGCGAATAACCGAGTATGATTTCCTTGCGGAGACTAGGGGTCCCTCTGGATACGAAGCCAGTACCCAGATCAAACATGAGCTTATCAACTCATTAGATGGGTTTTCCTACTTCTTGTCGGAAGATAGTGCTCGCCCAAATAGTAGTCGAAATGACACGGCCAACAGCTCCTCGGTTATCTTACAGCAAGAGGGTGTTTTCCGAACCAATTGTTTAGACTGCCTAGACAGAACGAACCTTGTCCAGACCATTATCAGTTCAATGGCCTTTGAGTCCTTTCTATCTCAGCAAGGCGGCAGACTCAGCGGGGATATGCAAGTGCGACATTCCACTATCTGGGCCGACAATGGCGATGCCCTGTCCAAAATCTATGCTGGGACGGGTGCCCTCAAGTCCTCGTTTACCCGACACGGCAAGATGTCACTCGCAGGAGCGCTTGCAGACGCCCGAAAAAGCGCCACTCGGCTATATGTCAATAACTTTACGGATAAGGCCAGACAAAAAACAATTGATCTTCTCCTTGGAAGACTAGCAAATCAGTTGCCTGTGTATCTCTACGATCCAACCAACGATTTGGTCCTCGACGAATTAAACCGTCGAACTTCTGAATATTCCTCGCGCAAACAAGTCCGATTCTGGGTTGGCACATTTAACGTGAATGGCCGCGATGAGGGACCAGGCACTGACCTCACTCCGTGGCTTTTCCCAGAGGAAGATGCTGCCAATGAAGACCCAACAATATTTGTTGTTGGATTCCAGGAGATTGTTTCCCTTAGCCCGCAACAGATTATGTCGACCGACCCCAGTACTCGCAAGGTGTGGGAAAGAGCAGTCCACAATTGCTTAAACACCCATTCCAAGCTGAAAGGGACTGGCAAATATGTGCATCTGCGGAGTGGCCAACTAGTTGGGGCTGCACTTTTAGTTTATGCGAAAGAAGATGCCCTGAAAGACATTAAGAACGTCGAAGGCAGCGTGAAGAAGGTAATTGCATAGTCTTCTTCATTCATTTTCTGCGGCCACTAACATCTACAGACTGGTCTCTCTGGAATTGCTGGCAACAAGGGAGGCTGTGCTATCCGTTTCGAATTTTCTAATACCAGTGTTTGCTTCGTTACCGCTCATCTTGCTGCTGGTTTTGCAAACTACGATGAAAGAAACAGGGACTACGATATCATCGACCGAGGTTTGCGCTTCCAAAAGAGTCGGTCGATCAAAGATCATGATGCTGTGATCTGGCTGGGCGACTTCAACTATCGAATTGGGCTAGGCAATCCGAGGGTCAGAGATCTCATCTCACAGCGAGACTATCATAGGCTGTATGAGAATGATCAAGTAAGTTTGACCCGCACAGGCGTTTTTCAAAGTGTTCGTCTAAAAGCAAGGCAGTTGAATTTGCAAATGGTGGCAGGTAGAGCATTCCAGTTCTATTCCGAAGGCCCCATTAAATTCCCGCCAACCTACAAGTACGACGTTGGAAAAGATCAATACGACACATCGTGGGTTCCCTCTCTGCACTTGTGAGAGGCATCGACTAATAACTGTACAGCGAGAAAGCACGTATACCCGCCTGGTGTGACCGAGTGTTATGGAGAGGGACAAACCTGCGACAAACTAACTATCAGACAGCCGATCTGAAAGTGTCTGACCATCGTCCAGTTTGGGCAACTTTTGATTGTGTCATTGATATTGTTGATAATGGACTCAAAGAGAAGCTCCGGCGATCAATCTATGAGGAGAAGCAGAGCCAGCTCAATGGTTCCCTGGCGGACTCGGTTTCTCTATTGGATTGGGATGAAGACGATATGGTGCCACAGGTCCCTATTGCACCAGGACTACCACCAGCAAGCTCCGACCGGAACCGATGGTGGTTGGATCATGGTAAGTTTCAATTGATTTAGTTTGAGCTATGCAGATGGCTAACTTGTAACTAGGAGCACCTGTAAAAGCAACAGTACAACCCGAGCCAGGGTTTGTCATGAATCCTCAGCGCAAATCCAATCCTTTTGCCCTGGACTCCGGCTCCGACTGGGTTCCAAGTCAGGAATTGCGAGAGAACAGGAAATCTGGGCAGACAGCTCAACTTGAGAGGAAACCCGTGCTTCCTCCGCGACGTGAAACTTTGAACGAATACCCAACAGGCTCAGTGCAACCTAGGGTGGATAATGAGAAGTCCCCACCAGTTGTCCCTCGCAAACCTCTCTCATTGAGCTCACAGACAAAATCTCGAACTTTCCCAATTGATAGCCAAACAGAACGTGCGTCGTGGCAAAGCGTTTCGGTGGGTGATAAGCCCACCACTGGAGGCTCCGTGGATCTTCTCGGGGATGCCGCCAGCGAGCAGATTGAGTGGAAACCGCTTGTTCCTCAATGATTTCGTTCTAGCGCCAAACTCGCTCAGTTGCAAGGATCAAGAATATTAATATGTTTAGAAACATGGAGCTTAAGAGCTTACATATTCATTTTGATGATGTCATCCACGGGCTGACCGCCTTCTTCTCCGCCTGTTCACGCCGCCTTTAGAGGCATCCATACAAGTGATTATTCCAAGTCACTTTGATATACCCCGGTTCGGTGTAATATGCATTAGAAGTAAACATGCTGTGTCATCAACGAAGCCTATTTTACCGTATCTTTCGCGAAGATTGGGTATTCCGTAATATAGACGGATTCTGCTACTTGCACTTTCACCAGGAAGATAGCATCTCTGTAAATAAGTGCAGTTTGAAGGTACAAATAGATATACATATGGCTACATATGGTGCCCTGAAGTCGAAGATTGATACAAATAAAGGGGTTCCTCCCAAAATCGTCAACGTGTCAAAAAACAACGTGGCCTTTTTTTTGCCGGCATATTCATGTCCTCTTGAAACCACCCCCAATACTTTCGTCTTCCTCGAATGTACCCCCAATCAACACATCATGGTAGGACCAAGTGCAATATTCTCATTATGGGTGGCTATTGACATTATACCAGGCACAAACACCTCAACAACGCAGAGCAAATGAGCGGTTTGCAAAGACCGAGGCTGCGAAGCGCGGCAAGGCACCAACCACAGTCAAACCGAAGAAGAATGGAAAGTCACCAGTATCAGCAAGCTGGGTTGGTATGTGGGCACTATCTGTCAGATTGGACCTCATCTTAACAAACTTCTAGTGATCCTCGCCTTTGTTGTCTGCGGCGGTCTTCTTCTAGAGCTCCTGCGCATTGTCCCTGAGCTTTGGTCCACCGTGGCCTCAATGTTCACCCGCATCATCGGGTAATGGGCCTCAGTCCCATATTCAGACCTGAAATACTCGCGCCAATTAACCCATGATAAATTCATCTCGAGTCAAGGCCCCCCTATCTGATCACACCGGCGTTTTGAGGGAGCAGTTTGGAGGTTCTCGGTCAAAGGCGGAAAAGCTACATTGCTCACCACGCCACTTTTCTTCATTGTCCTCTGAAATTATGCATTGTTGATTATCCTTTTTTACTGAGCCAAATACCATTTGCGAATGCGAATACCCAGCTTCAAGAGACCGGTGATCAAGTATCTGACTCCTTCTCTGGACCCTTGGTCTTCTTCTTCTTCTTCTTCCTGACAATAGGCTCCGCGGGCTCCTCATCCACGGTTTTTCTGGCCTTTTTCTTCTTTTTCTTGACTAAAGTTCCTTCTGCTGGCGTTCCTTCAAGCTGGATGCGCTCTGATGCTCGTTGCATCCGTAATCGTACCTCTTCGACCTGCTGCATGGCCTTGATCATCTCGGTATCTCCCTCTGCAGAATTCTGAAATGGTTCCTGGGAAAGAGCGAGACGATCAAGGCTGCTAGAATCAACCTGAAGCAGAGAACGTTTAGGAGCGGTTTGTCCATCTGTAAATCCCTTGTGCTTTGAGTTATCCGTTTGTGTCTCCAGGGTCTCATCAGCAGCAACCACCAATTTGCTCAAAGGGGCCCGGCGGGACCGTGCACGGTCAAGGTTAGCAGGATTTGACGGTTCATCCTCTAGCTTCAAGTCAACAATGGGAATGGAATCGACGTCCAGTCCTTCTCCATTAGAGGTGTTGAGGATTTCATGAAATGGCGTAGATGTGCCAGACGACTCGCCAGAAGGAGCAATGTAAAATGGATCATCTTTGAAGCGTTCTCTGCGTTCAAGCTTTCTCCTTTCTCCGGCCGACGAATCACCAGGGAAGTTTTGATATGATGTATGAGATAGGGCATCGACTGGTGTAATGTCAAGCGTCGGCTTGGTGAACGCAGCTTCTGGGACATTGTAAAAATCTTGAATGACATCCCGTGTCGAAAGCTCATGAGCCGAGCTGTCTAGATTGCGGAAGAGACCCGGCAGATCATGGCTAAACGGCTCGTCCAAACAAAGACTATCCGGTAGAACAACCTTCTTCTGAGCGCTGGCTGCAACAGGGTTGAGCTCGAGTCCCATAAACAGGCCCGGTATAACTGAGGCGAGGAGGAACGGAACTTCTTGCCTTTCGGAGCGCAATGCCTCCGCTGCCAATCGAAGAACTTCCAAAAATTCAATGGCTCGTTCTTGGACGTCCAGATCGGGGTGTGCTGCTAGAGCCTCGAGGAATTCCACGACCCGAGCAAGCAACAGTGACATTTCACTCTTCCAGGTATCACCTGGTGTGCTATCCTGACTGGCTCGAACAAAAACCTTCGGAATAGCTTGTAGAAAGAGAGAAATGGTTCTCGGAGGAAGCGAAACATTGGAGTTGTCAATCAAAGACTGCAAAGTCCGCTTAGGCGACAGCAGATATTCTGCATATTCACCAAGTACCCAGGCAATGGGTCCTAAGACATTGTCGCCGATAGTCGAACCGGTGGGGAAGAAACGAGCCCTGGTGTCCACAAACATGAGTGACTCGGCGGCTCTTGTCGCCTCCAGGCGGACTCCTTTGACACGCACGGCAACGTTGCGTATTTCTGTTCCAATTCGAAGTGCGGCGTTCATTCGTGAATTGGTCATGGATTCTTGGTCTTCGATTTCTTCGGATTCGGAGAGTGGGATGAGACCGACTAATTGTACCAACACGGCGACGTACCACTCGAAGTCAACAAGTTCAGAGTAGTTGTTCTGTGAACAAAGGTCTAAGATTCGATGGACAACTTCAGTCTGATAATCGCTGGGCCACAGGACCAAGGTGTCAGGCCCAGATCCATCAGTTGGGGGACCTTGAGTAGTATCCTCGATTTCTGCATGGACTGACTGGATGGCTTCATTCGCAGACATCGAAGCTTGTCGCAGCTGATCTAGTAGGCGATTTACAACCAGTTGTAAAGAGTCACTATCAACCATTCCAACTGCAAGTTCCAATGCCTGCAATCGAATGGAAACATCTGCGTCATCTAGGCAGTCCATAATGACATCCTGTTGCATAGAAACTAAAGTCGGATGCGTGGCGACAATGCGGTTTAATGCAAGGAGCGCAACATATTTGACTTGGGGTGAATTAGTAACGAACCCTTTATAAAGAAAGAAGAAACTCACGGTTTGGGTCTGCATCCATGACTATCATACCACGCAATTTCCCAACACAGAGAGTGGCAACTTCGTCCCTTTCTTGAAGACTATCCTCTCCGTCTAATATGCCTCCTTGGATAATACCATTGATGCATTCATAGAGAAGGGACATTGCAGAGGTGGTCTGAATGATATTGGTCAATGGTCGCAGAAGCTTGCGAGTCAGTCGTGGCTCCAGCGGGGTCAGGGTTGCAAACTATTCATAGTCAGAGATTGGAAATGTTGCAATTTGATTGCTGGAAGAACTGACTAGTTTGATGATCTTGATTGCCATCCAATTATTGCCACTATCCACAAGAAGTTCGAAGAATCGGGGCGCTAAAGGGAGAAAGTCATGGGGTCGTCTCCAGCCAAGCTCACACACAACGTTGATTGCCGCCGTGGTGACACTGCTATCTTCTTGGTCATCCATCAGATGGTCTTTTATCTTAGGCCAAGCGAGCTTTAGTGCTTCGGGATAGACCAAGGCAAGCCTGTAGAGGCATACAATTGTTTTCTTGCGCACCACGGGGTTCGAATGTGAAAGACGAGACAGGACGTCAGGGAGCAGGGACATTGCCAGAGACGGCGTGATGATGTGTGGCAATGTAATCAGAGGAAGAGACATGTTAGGGATACTAGAGTTGACAATGTCCTGCCCATAGTGTTAGTTGTGTTCAGTGTACGGTTAGGGAGGCAGAGCACCCACCTTTTTCAACAGATTTGTGGCTAGCATCAAAACTTCTGTATCCGGTCGAAAGCTTTGTACGGCTCCGAGATAGCCGACCCTTTTCTGGAGGTATTTGGCAGACGACATGACTTCCAGAACATGGAAGGATGCCCAAGACATGTCATATCCAAACATTTCAAGATATATGAGCTTCAAGAGAGCTGTGGCCTTTTTGTCTAGTCAAAACGTTAGTATTAATTTTCCATCTCACCAGACAGATCACTGAGTGTACCCATGTCTTGCGTTTTAATTTCCGCCTTGCATTCACGCAAGCTGTTTTGAATGTATTCATTTTCTCCTCCTTTATGGCCTCTGAGGCCTTTGATAAGGTCGTAGAGGGATTTTTCAAACCTAGAATTCCCTCAATATTAGAAATTAGAACAACCGTTGTCAGATGCATAGGTGCCCACATTGTGTCATTCGTCACAGACCACGGCTGAGCGGTAGAAAAGGCGGCAATTGTAATGAGAAAAAATCCGTTTTATTTCTTGAGAATGCACATGGCTGTAGGGACTATCATATCAGCCCTGGCCTATAAGGAGAAAAGGAGAAAAAGAGGCAGAGAGAGATGTGCCAGCAATAGAGCTCCGCGGGGTGGAGTTGGGGAAGCGCGATAAGAATCACGGGACCTCATCTTAGCTCCGAGGCTGTCCTCTCGACAATGTATCTTTCTCAACATTCTCAGAATTATCCTCTTTCTACTGATCATGGCAGGTTCCATCTCCGATATCCGCAACATCAATGGGTCGGATCTGATCTCCGCCCTTCATCTTGCTCAACAAGCACCGACAATCCTTGGCCAGGAGTCTCAGTCCAAATCCTCGACGGCGTCTGCGGATACCGCAGAGTACTATGCACGGATAGAGCAACTTCTACTGGCTTGTCTTCGGACGGGAGATGACCAGTCAGCACAGGCCTGTCTCAATCAGCTCAGCCTTCGATTTGGACCATCAAATGAAAGGATCATGGGACTACGAGGGCTGTTTGAAGAAGCAACCGCCAAGGATCATTCAGCACTAGAGAAATGCTTGCAGGAATACGATCAAATCTTGTCACAGAGTCCAGTGAATGTAGTCAGTGTGCCCATGTTTTCTTTTTCTTTTTCTTTTTTGGTTCTCCAGCTGACCATGTGCCAGCCTATTCTGAAGCGCAGGGTTGCGCTGCTGCGGTCGCTCAACCGGTCATCTGACGCAATCTCGGCTCTTATTCAACTTCTCGATGCCATTCCCACTGACGCGGAAGCCTGGTGTGAACTGGCGGACTTATACCAGTCACAGGGGTTGAGCTCACAGGCTATCTTTAGCCTTGAGGAGGCCTTGCTCATTGCGCCCAACTCTTGGAATGTATGAAACCCAACATAAGCTCTGAGTCATCTACTAACTGACGCCAGATCCATGCACGTCTGGGTGAGCTGTTATACATCGATGGGGACGCACTACAGAGGTCGGTACAGCACTTTTCCCGAAGTATTGAGCTTTGCGACGACTACTTGCGGGGGTTCTACGGGTTGACGTTGGTACGTAAAGAAACTATGGAGATCAATGATTCCCCACTAATGGCCCGCAGGCTTCATCCCGGATGCTTGAGAAATCCAATGGATCTATACCCAAGCAAACCCTGGAGCGTCTCAAGGCATTTGGTTTACTCAAGTTGGGCGAGATTGTCAAGTCACGATCAGTCGATGACCAACATTGGGCATCCAGTCGCAGTGAACTGATTGCAGCCAAAGAACTATTGAATCGATTCTAAGATAATACAATAATATTCTAGACCTTGAACACGGAGTCTTTTGTTCCTATAGATCTAGATATATGGGGCTGAGAGACTAATTGGGCAGTTTGGGCAGAGGAAGTAAAAACACACATCATATGCCCAACGGGCTGTCACATTCCTCAAAAAGCCCTTTTTCTTCTTTCTTTTCTTTCTTTTCTTTCTGCATGATACCCTGGCTTGAATCGTCTCACTGTTTTTTTTTTTTTTACTTTTTTTTCTCTGACTCCTTGTCTACTCTACTCTCTTCTATCTACTATCTGCTCTACAATCTAGCGGGGTGAAGGGGAAAAAAAAAAACAAGTCAATGCGCAAGCCCCCCGCGTCCTGATCCTTTTCTCTCCCCACCATCTTGACTGGTTTCATCTATCTTGGGTTATTCCCTCCTCACTTCGCGCATGCGACAGAGAGAGAGAGGATTCCGATCTTTGTGTAGGAAGTGATATATTCCCCCCGCTTCTGGTCTCTATGACGTGTGTTTTGACCCTTTCCCCCTAACTCTCCCTTTTCTGATCTCCCCCTTCTACAGGCTCAGTATCTCGATTGATCCAGACCCGCACGGCTCGGATCACTCTTTGTCCGACGAGGACTCTGGTGTACATGTTTCGATACCTTCGGAGGGAAGCCATGACTACCCGGACTATGATGAGTGGGCGCATTTGCCTTATCCGCATGAATTGAACCCGTCTGATTCAGCCTCCCGACCAAGACCTTCACGCAGCCGCCCGCTCCACGGTTCACGCTCCGCTTCGGGCCGTCGCCCAACATCACAACGTATGATTCCAGAACGCGACTTCGTCCCTCGAGGCCGAAGACAACAATCCCCTGATTCTCCCGACAGTGTGGAATCGGATGAATTTACTCCTCACTCTCACTATGACAGACCTCCACCCGATAGGAGAGGGTGGCCCCCAACAGCTACTGGCCCTGCTTATGCTCATAGTCAGTCCTCTGGTCCATCTTACAATGCCTACCCACCTGCGCCTGGTCACCCTCCTTATGCGCATCCCAACCCCCAAATCACCTCTGATTTGATGAGAATCGGTCACCCCAACCAAGCGCAGCCCCCCTTATGGGACACCTTCGCCCTACGGGTACAATCCTCAGTTTCCACCCCCTCATGGCTCTCCTATACATCATTTCTTCCCAGATCAATCCCAACAACGGCATATGCCTCGCCAGCCACCTCAGCCGCGGAACGATTTGCACAATCCACAGGCGCATATGCCACACCCCATGGCGCCCCATGGCGCCCCCAGCCCTTATGGGGCATCTCCTTTCCCGTCGCATGAGTTGATGGCCTATGGACAAGCTGGATTTTATCGAGATCCCAGCTATTTCGGGGCAGCGATGCCGGGCATGATGCCCCCTCCCTTTTGGCCAGTTCCTTACCCCCAGGTACCGTCTCCTCCGACACAAGTGGAGCCAAAGCCTTCCCCGCCTCCACCTCCACCACCTGCTCCAGAACCGGCACCGGCGCCAGCACCAGCCCTCACCCCCGCTGATACGGCCAAGGATGAAGCGATTGCCCGGCTGGAGCAGTTGATTATAAATGATCGCAAAGAGCGCGAGGATAAAGAAAAGGCCATCCAAGACGCCAAGGACCGTGCTGCCGCTGAGAAGGCAGCGCAAGATGCGCAGACAGCGCATGACATGAAGATTGCCTCGGAAGCTGCGGCTCTTGCGCGAGCTGATGCGGAGGCAAAGGCCGCAGAGGATGCAGCCAAGGCTAAGGATGAGGCAGAAAAGGCCGCTGCTACCGCTGCCTCAGATGCTGCGGCCGCTGCAACGGCGGCTGCTGCTGAGGCTGCTGCCGCTGCCGCTGCAGAAGCTGCCAAACCGCCGCCTCCACCACCTGCCCCCGAGAAAAAGAAGCCTATCAAGTTCAAAGACGCTGTTGGCAGAAAGTTCAGCTTTCCATTTGAGCTGTGTGCCACGTGGCAGGTATGTCTATTTCCTAGTCAGGATAATTTTCTGTTCGTTAACGTTGGTTTTTAGGGGATGGAGGAGCTCATTCGGCAGGCTTTTCTCCATATCGAAGTAATTGGTCCCCATGTGGCCGATGGACACTATGATCTGATCGGTCCCAATGGTGACATTATCCTTCCGCAGGTTTGGGAAACAGTGATTGAACCTGACTGGGCTATCACTATGCATATGTGGCCAATTCCCGAAAAGCCAAAGGAAGACCCCCCTCCCCCAGCAGAGGAACCACCGCCCCCTGAAAAACCTGCCGAAGCGCCTCCAGAGCCAAAGAAGAAGGCAGAGTCAGGTAGGACCTTTCTTCCTAGCCTTTTGCGTAGTATGCTGACGGTTTCTCCCAGGTAATAAGAAGGCAAAGGCCAAAAATCCGCCTATGCCTGGTAGTTTTGCAATGTGGATGTTGGGTAATAACACTAGGCCGAAACAAGCCTCAAAGGCAGAAAAGAAGCCTGAACCGCCTGCTCCTGCACCTCCTTCGTGATGACTGTATTTACTTTTAGCCTATTTGAAATTTTTGGATGCTTTGGTTCACGTCTTTGTTGGTTTTGGTTGTATCTGTGGTAGCTCTATTGGCAATGTTTGGATAGTCAATTGTCTGGAATCAAGGCCATGCGGTATAAAGGGATTGCTACTCTAGTCGTATCTGCTCTAATATTTATATGATCAATCAATTCACTCCGCTTCGATGTATTCGAGGTGTATGTACACTTTCAATTTCATCGCCTGCCTATTTTTGTCATCTTTATACCTTCGTGACTCTGGGTTCCGTGAGCTTATGCCCCTGGTTCAGGTTTACGTATACACCGACCTTCTCCCATTGGGAATGTTAACGTGTTTCTGATGCGAGCTGCGCAGCCAAATCTCCATAATGAATGTGAGATATGCGACGCCTATATCTCAACAACTAACACTTGTTTATTGCCTTTTTATTTGCCAGTAGCTATTGATCAGCATTTTCAGTAGTATTTGTCAATTTCAAACAGATAGAAGACTTGCATTATCATGGTATCGAAAATTACATCGTTGGAATCTGTAAATATATATGTATACTAGTCATTAATTTCCCAAAAATCTTTAAGGTGAAATACGTCACGGAATTAGGCATTATCTATTCGAAAGCTTGCTAGTGATGACCCTTAGCGTCTAGATAAAGCAAAAGATTGAACAGAGAAAGGGTGTTAGCTTGCGATACATTAGTCTACTATTGCGCGGTAGCAGATCAGCGATTTACGGGCCGCTAATACAAAAGTTTCGCGTAAAAAGTAGCGCATAAAAGCCCGAATGGTTTATAAAGAATGTCTACTACTTATGCTACTTAAGGAAGCTACGATGCGTTTTGGCAGAGAGAGAGAGAGAGAGAGAGGTCAAAGAAGCGAGATCTGATCAAGCCGACCGGCCATCGCTGACGCCTTTTCCGACCAATAAGAGGCGCTCATAGTGATACAGTATTCGTAAAACGCCTAGACATAAGATAAATAGGTGCCTCGATAGGTCCGAATGGCTTCAATCTTATTGAATTCGCGCTGGGGTTGAAAAAAAAAGCATAATAGCAGTAAACATAATGGTTGGGTGAATCACTCGCTTACCGGCTACGTTATCACCTACACTCTACATGACAGCACAGGCTATGTCATTAACATTAAATTCGGAGGATTGCTCTATAATAGCACGGTTACAATATCGCTCAATATTTTATATGATTAGACCTTGAAATTTCCCATGGGACTATAAACAATGCAAACATTAGCTATCTCGTGACTTATATAAATAATGCATTTCTTGGCGTTTCCGAACGGTAGTTCATTTACAATAGCCTTTTCTATATTAAAGAAATACTAAATAATCACAAAACTATGGTCGGAATATATCAAAAGTAATAAATATTTGTTAGTCTTAATACTCGCTAAAACACCTTTAAATTACCGTATTTTATTATGATAACTCAGCGATCTATCTATCATTATTATGAAAATAATGTATAGATGGGAAATTTTTTTAAACCCATGGGAGTGGGACCACGGGACTAGACCTCTGTAGGAATTCCCATGGGACTAGATTTTCGCTAGTCCCATGGGAAATGTCAAGGTCTATATATGATACTCCTTAGTACTTCTTCCAAATTCTAAACAACTACCTATCCTTATAATATAGATATCTATCTTCGCCTAATCTATCTAATACGTTCTAAGCTTTTACTAAATATTTTCCACTTTTCATATACGAACAAGGCCTAAGAATGGCGTAAAAAGGGTTATATTCGGTGTAACGGAATCCTTCATCATAACCCCTTTCATTCTAATACTGGTCCGTTAAGTAAATGTGAATAGGCAAAGTTAGTATAATCACACCTAGCCTAATCATTATTATTAGTATACTGTAATAAGATAAATGACAGTAGCAACATTTAATATATTACATTATCCTTATACATACCTACCATATTTTTACTATCTATATTACCACATAAATAAGCATAAAAAGATAAAAGCTATTTAGAGAATAAGTTTTTCCTCTAGAAATTGTTGTTATGATAAACTAATTACCTCTCTCACTATTAAAAAACCATTTATGATCTTGCTACTCGACCAATTTAATAGGACGTCCACCTGATAAAGAATGAGGTTACCTACCTTTCATAATTATTAGCTTCTCTGTACTTTAATTACCTATGTAATTAGATAACCATTACATAATAATGAGGAAGGGTGAGTAAACATAGAGTGCTAAAAATAATATAATAGCTAGAAACACATGATAAAGTATATACAACATGGTTTCGCATTGTTTCTAATTAATCAATTAGGGGAACAGCTGTTTTTCTAAATATTTCAATATAAAGAACATTAATCTAGATATCTCAATTAGTATACTTTGTAAAGTAATTTTTTAAAATAGTACGAAGTATATTCTCAAACTATTTAATACTATACTAAAATAATTAATGTAGACTAGAAAGGGAAATAGGAGGGAGGGATTAAATCTAGGACAGGAAAATCGGAAATGAAATAATCTCCCTCTAATCTATATTATTTAAAAATAAGAAATTTAGCTCAAAGATCTTTTTAGTCCTCTTCAAGATAGCCCTTAGAAGTACAAATATAAATTAAAATAAAATTACAGCACTAAATCCAGATATAAAACTAGATATTGGGATATAATAGCGAAATCGATAAAAAGTATAAACATATGAAAAAGCCATTGAGTTTTAAACGATCTAGAGGCTTTCTAAGACATAGATAGAATATTGCTTTCTTATAAATGGGCAAAGCGCGCATACTTAATACGGTGTAGGAGTATGATTGCCTGACGGCAATCATAGTGGCCTTTTTGATCCGCGTTCCGATTGCTGAGCTCTTACAGTGATCTTAACACCGAAGGAAAGCGTTGATTCTCTACGATAAAATAGCCTATACCGAGCAGGTAGACTAGTAGTTATACGCGCATTCTAGAGGAAGCGCAAGATTAAATAGGGCTCGACGCGCTATTCCGAGATTCGGAGCTACTTTGACTAAGTTACCTGTAGTATAGAGAGCGCACTAAAGGTTATATATCAATATTGTAGAGCTATTCTTAGGTATCCTTATTAGACCTTGACATTTCCTATAGGACTACTTGTCTAAGTTAAAGAATCACCTAAATAGGTAAATAATTAAAGTCTTAGTAATGAGCTCTAAAGTTTAGTCCTATAGAAGTAGAAGTAGATTCTACGTAGACTTCGCCAAAGCCCACGTTTGGGCCCAGACTCCGGGCCCCCACGAAAGCCTAACTTCTCATAAAATCTAGGTCTTGGCGCTTATAAAGCTGCTAATTCGCCTAAATAAAATACTGTTTCCTACGCCTATTTTGGTCACTATTATGAATTCGTTAAAATTCAACCTATTAATACCCATATATATTCAAGGTTGAAATTCATCTTTATAGATAGTCTCAAGAAATTTTGATCACTTTATTATCTAACGTACCTTTAGAAGCAGTAAGCTATTAAATAAATACCTTTAAACTAAGGCTTTCGTCAAAGAAAATTGAGAGTCAAGTAAAAGAATTACCCAAAAATATAGGCGAAAATTGTATATTTTATATAGTCACGAATCTCTGCTCTGTTTGCATTATTTGGGCCTATTAGGGGCCTATAGTAGGCCCGCGGGCCTATAATCAAAGCCCACAGCCTATCGTGGTCTCAAAGACTGGGCCCAAAACTCAACCTATTGTGGGATGGGTTGGCGTGGGCTTTGGCGATGTCTAATCCTACGTAACCCCCATAGGACTAGAATTTCCTATACATTAAGACCTAATTCTTATATAGTCTATCCAAAGGAGGCTATGGGTAAAATAAAATATTATAGTATATCTACGATATAGAAAGAGTAAGGGAAGAAAACGAGATTAGAAAATTTCTCGAAAAAGAATTACGTACTAATTTAACCCTATATTTTACCATACTAATTTATCTTAGCTTCTAACTGTAGGTAGAAACCGAAAAACTATTCTCGTAGGAAACCTATGAAGAAGATATCCTATAATCTATTTATTACGCTTAATCGGCTTCTACTTTATCTAGTTAAGCACCTACTATTCTAGCGTCTTATTTCCCGGGCTCGCTGGGCCCTATTCCCTCTGATTATTCCTTCCGCTAATATAATGTCGCCGACTAGGAATAATTATCAGAAGTCGGCATTATCATATATCCTTCGTACACTACCCACTAGTGCAAAAGTTTCGACTACACTCAATTTTCAATTGTCTCTATTCTCGTAGGTATATATTACAATTAGTAGCTACTTTATTCATATTGGCTAGGTCTACTATAAGGTGCTACTTAGGTTTAAATCTCTGTACGGTGTGTATATAAGTGAACGCCTAAGTAATATTCTTGTAGAAACCCTAATAGAGCATAAACTTAAATCCTAAGTGTTCAAGGTAATGACTAACAATATATCAAATAATAAAATGATATTTAAATCTGTTTAATAAGGCCAAGGAAAATAACTTCTTTGTTGAAATTGGGATATCTACTAAATTGGTGGGCATTAATAATAAGGCCGACGAGGATGTTCAAGCCTGGTCTTTCTCTCAATGAGTGAAAGACCCTATATAAATGAGAACTCTTCTCCTAATCTATACTCCACTTGGTAGATCTGATGCTGATCACTAGATTCATGCCTGATGCGGGGTTTGATCTTACTCTAGTGGTCATAGGCTAGTATCTAGATCGAGAGGTGTTTATATAAGATGTGAGAAGGGGTCGGGCTTGGAGAGGTGGACGGTGCATCCACGCATTCATTTGCATTTAATGCTTCCTGGCATTAAAGTTCTCATTTGTATTGGGGTTTTCGGGTTCTCGGTTTTGGCTTATTTGTAGAGCTGGTGCTCTCTTTCGTTTCGAGAATCAGCCCAATTTTCTGTACTGGAGCATGATCAGGCGTACGGGACACGAGTTCTTGCTTCAGCTGGAAAGAAGCGCCTGCATAGCTATTCGATACT